AAACACAACCAGTACATAAACCCGAACACAAGGACAGCGATGCCGTACGTCTGTGGCGCATACCATGTGACTGAGTCGCTAGTGTTGGACATGAACTTAGCACCAGGGTCTCGGATCCAAATGGCGATGAGTGGGAACGCGGTGGTCCCTCCAAAAGTTGCTGCCGCCACGATGCCGACAACGTGTGGGACCGGAGACTTTTGCCGCCACTTGCTGCCGGGCCAAAGACGAAGGAGAAGCACCCCTATCCCCATGACGGAGAACCAGATGATATCCAAACCGTAAGCGAAAGCTGAGATACCAAGGTAGTAGGCGGGGAGGTGGAATCTCGTCGAGGACAGCTGAACGGTGCCAAGGACCGTGGCCAAGATTACGATCGAGGTAACCACCCAATGCAAAGCCAACGCGGCTGCGGGGGCACGCTCGTGATAGCTTGACCGCGATGGTGGCAGGCGACGGAAGCCGTTGGCGAAGGAGAAGGAATATGACGAGGCAAAGAACAGCGAGAACGGAAGGATCCCCTCCTTCGCGATCTCTTGCTTGACTCGGGCAGCCGTGAAGGTGAAGACGATGACGTTTCCGAAGGCTGAGAGGGCTCGGAAGGACCCACAAATGGCCTGGGTTTGGGTTGTTGAAGCCACACGCCCTATGGTATGTCTGAAGAACTCGAACGCCTGGTCGTGGTTGGACTTGAACAGAATCTCTTTGGGAATGACGGCGGCATAGAGAATGTTAATCGTGACAACAAGAGAGGCCATCACGGTGACGCAAATGAAGGAGACCTGCGCGAAGTTTCGCCGAGGGTGTCGAATCTCGGCTAGCACCTATGGAGTACAAGAGTTAGCAGGGAGAAGACAAGGTAGACCCAGGGGAGTTGCTCACATAGTTGGCCTGATGGAAGCCACTGAAGGGAAAGATGGCGAAGATGATGGCCTCGGCGTATCTGTACACCTCTTTGGGACTGTTGGTCGTTGAAAATGAAGTTGTCCTGTCAAAGTTGGCCGCCGCGACTGATCTGTCTTTCCCGAGCTGAACAAGGCCAAAAATGACCATGCAAAGAAGCATGGCCAATTTGGCAGTCCCAAAAAAGTTGTTGATTCGAATGCCCCATTCTCTTGACATGCTATGGAGCAAGCACGCGAATGTGTTGATCGCCATGGCGATGCCAGCAATCAGGCCTCGAGTCTCCTGGACATTTGAGGCTTGCAGCATGGCCACTGCTGATGCAATTGCATTAAAGCTTGTGTTGCCGAAGATGATGAAGGATACGCCGAAAAGGCATGTGGCGAGAAATTTTGGCCGCTTCACGAAGTAGTTGAGGTAAGGCAACTCCCCACCGCTTCGAACAACTGAAATCTTGTTTGATCCATCGCCCAGGCAGTATCTGGGAACCGTGAGACCGAGTTCTATGTAAACGATCGTTCCTGAGATGGCCATAGATAGACCATATAGCCAAAAGAAGACCGAAATGCTGATGCTCTGCGTGTTTGAGAAGATAACGGAGCTGCTGTTGAAGATGCCGGAACCAATCAGACGGTTGAGAATGAGACAGCTGACAGAGTACCAGCCAAGGCTGGCATTGTCTGTGGGGATCTCCTCGACGATGGCGGACTGCTCGTTCCGGGCCTGGGTGAGACGAGCCTTATCGCGTGGGTCGAGACCAGGGCGCCAGCTTGTGTCACCCTCGCTGCCCGTGACAGGTTCGTCGCTGCTGGGCTCACCCTGGATTGGCTGCTGCCCTGTGGAGGTCATCCTTGAATGTCTCGTCGTCCGGTGGCGGGGTTGTCAGCGGAGGAACCATTGAGTCGACGGAGTGAAACATAATGCCGGCCCAACGCTACTTGAGGTGGCAGCGACATCGTTTTCCGTCGCGGTAGCAGCGGCAACTCAAAAACAGACGAGAAAGAAAATATCGCACACCAAAGTCGATTGGGCTGTCAAACAAGGCGATCGTGGGGGATGAGGCAACTGGCTGCACCTTCCTTGGTTCTACACCGCCCCTCCTCAGCTGAAAAACTTGAGGGTCTGGCGGGAGAAGGTGCACCCAAAGCAAAGGTGGTATGCAGGAAAGCACACCCCGAAGTCGGGCATCAACCCCTCGATGCGGCGCTAGCACGAGACACGCCCCCAATTCATCGTCGCGACTGCCGTGTCTTCCAATCAAAGGCGTGAGCAGTATAAAAACGATGAGGTTTCGTCACCGAGCGTGAAGCAGGTCGCCCTGCAATCTGCCTGAGGCTGTGAACTGGCTGATTGGGCACACCTCCCTGTTGGGTTGAGAATGTCCAATTCTGCTCCGCGGACTGACCGTGTTGCAGCCCAGACGGTCGTCCTTCGGTGAGACAGTTGGGTGCATGTTCGTACCTTACATTTACCTTGCGGCCGGCCTCTCGGGTCCTCGTCGCTTACTCCCGTTGTCGCAGTGCTGATATGAGACTGTCTCAGTAAACCCTGGATCCTTGCATTTGCCTCTAGCCCTATCAAGTGCCGGTAGGCCAATCATCGTCATGATCATTATCGAGCTCCTCGAGATCCTGGAGGGCTTGGCGATTCTACAAAGAATCACTTCTATTGCCTGGCTGAACCAGGATGCACGTACGTGGCACCCAGAGTTTCTCTTGATTTTGACAAACAGCTCATACCAGCCACTTAGAAAGCCAGTACAGGGAGTTTCGTGAGGAAATTGCAACGCTAGAGAAGAATCTCAACGAGCTCCACGATGTGGTGCGCGGGGTTCAGAATGCTCCTGAATCACGCAACCAAATCCCAATGCAGAAGTCACCAGCTATCGAGAGTTTGACACGGGTTCTTGGCGGTTTTCAAGACACACTCAATGATTGCTGGATACTCCTCGACAGATGGCGAGCCTATGGCGAAAGTCGGGGGCCCATCAGCAATTTGCAATGGCATCTTCTTGTCAAAGATGATCTTGCCGTCCTCAGGGACCGCATCGCCGTGCACAACATCAAACTGTCCATGGCTTTAAGCTGTTGGAACATCACAAGCTTCGACAACCTCCGAAAACTCATTTTGAGTACGACAGAATGGTTGGGCAGGCAGATTCACCACGAGCAATGCAGCCCCGAAACCTGTGTGGACGAGGGTTCTCTCTTATCAGAATGCCGATCGCATGAATCGCTCCTCGCAGTTTCCGTTGCAGACCTGATCCCTGTTCCCATCAGCGATACGCTCGTGGCAATTATGGAGGGTCGGCATGGGAACCTCAACGCCATCCCGTTGGCGGACGGGGTAGACGAGGCGGTCTTTCACCTAGACCAAGCAACGAAGACAGCAATGTCCCACGAGACTGATCATGTGCACACAATAGCGAGTATCTTGAGAGCCTATTGGCTTCTTAAGGCAACCCAACTGGCCAACGAGTACCAGGCCGCAGTGACACATCCGTCATTTGTCAAGTTCGAAGCACAACTCGCTAAGTTTGGCATGACCCTACCTTTGTTCTTCGCCCGATTAGAAGATCGGATTTTGTTGGCCCACCAACGCCAAACAGCGCTCAGAGAAAAATCCAAGCTTGTGTCAATAGAAGAGATACGAGATAGGATTGAAAAGGACAGACATCGATGGCTGGAGCACCGTCAGTCCGGATCCCGGAGAGACAGTCTCGACCCAAGGCGAGGGAAGAAGGTCATGAAATGGTGAGAAGACTACGACGTACAGGACGAAGAGCGTTGCTAACTCCTTATAGTCAACTTTACTGTCTGGACGATGCCGTCAAAAAGCAGGTTGAGGTCTATCAAAACGGCGAGGCCAGTTTGAACTTGATCACCAACACGGGTGGCTCAGATAACATGATGTAAGGATCTCATCCGGCTCTCATCTAGGGACAGGCCTTGATCGATGCTGACATGGAGGGCTGAAGATACAAAACCGATCTTCACCTAGTCCACTTTGGTGCACATCCTAGTGCGAACCTGGGTGGGGAGTCTTACCCTGTCACAATCAAACAGAATCGAATGAGTAAAATCGAAACACCCGACACAATAACCTTCTTGCAGCCACCGGACCTTTTTACTTTCCAAGAATTGGTAACCGGCTTCAAAGTGGTTGACAACCTGTCAGTGTCACATCGCCCTTTCCGCGCGAATTAGAATCGCAAGAAACAAGCTAACTTGCGATGCGGACAGACCTGGTGCCAGAGTGACATGCCAATTCTCCCGTGGCGACAAGAAATGGGTGCTCTGGAAAGGTTCTCAACGGACAGAGAGAGCCCGTGTCCAGTTATGGAGCTCCAGCAACCGACAGGATTCTACCCACGCCCCGATAATTGTAAACGCCGAGTTGAAGACCAACTGTGACGTTCACATCCAAGACTCAGGACATTTTACTCCAACTACATGCGGCCCTGATTCCAGAGCAGCCTCACCACAGTTTATCCCACTTCAAGACGGAAACTTTGGCACCATTCTCGAAGTCCCCGAGTGCCCACGCCTCGTGATCTTCCTCCCTGACATGCTACTCGTTATCAAAGGTCAGGCCACTCCACATCCTTTCACTTTGCTCATGCGGTATCTGGGTCTTTGCTTACATTGGCATAGTCAATGATGACGTCAAGATCAGACCCGACAGGTGCAGGTGCGGGGCAGACGAAGCCTCAAACGGGTCAGAGTGCAAAGAGGTTGTGATTAAGAGCATTTCGAGATACATCAACGCCAGGAGCACCACCGCGGACCCAATAGCGGGTTACAACATTGCTAGTGCCGGACAATATCAACGGGGTACACTCAAAAGGGCTGAGAAGCTGACACTTGTCACCATCGAGTTCGGCTCGGTCGAAGGTATGCACGCAACCTCTCACGTTCTGAACGAAGACGATCTGACATCTAACCAGAACGCATGAGGTTTGCTGAGAATTTCGATGCATTGAAGGAGTTGCATCGTTTGAACCGTCGGAGTAGCAGACAGCTGGTTAGCTGAGAGCCTGGAGACGATGGAGTCTGGTGCTGAGGAGCAGCAATACACGGATCTTATGTTCATTCACAGCAGGTTTAGCTCAGCTGGGAGAACGTCAGACCGAAGTCCACCTTATCATATTATCTGAAGGCTGAGCGTTCAAGCCACTCAACGTGCATTGTAATTCCCTTTGCCCCTTTTTGTGGACACCAGACCCCACAGTGATTTTCTCCATTCTCCTCTCCCATGGCTCGCCGTTATATCTAACACCGGCAGGGGACGGAACGAATTACGTTAATAGATGGTAATTTGCTGGTAGTGCTCCGTCATTCTGTCGTTTCGGCTTGACTGCTGCTTCAAAAAGGCGTAGAAACATCCAATTCGCTGGTATCCTCGGTCGGACTGTCGCCCTAAAATCAAGCCCACAATTTTGGACTCTTCCATGTAAAGGACAATGACGTGTGCCGGGAAGTTGTCAAACTGGGTTGCGCCCCGATGATCTCTGTACACAACGAAATTTCCCTCACCTTGGGCCGACGGAAGCAGGCGGAGCGGGCAGTCCAACCGAAAAAGGGCTGTATCTGTCTCCAAGCCCCACTGTATGTTAGCCATGGGATTTTGCCGGCCAGAGAAGGTGCAGTGGAAAAAGGGAGCCCTGATGGTCAAGAAGCCGTCGGAAACCTTGCCAAACGGGTCCCGTGTGGAAACAGGCGTGGTGCTGGCGTCGATGATATGGCAGAGCGACTCTCGTTTCCCATAAGATGGACACTCGAAACTAACCTCGCCATCCAAAGAAGCCCAGGAAAAGCTTGGGGCGATATACGTGTCGTAGCATCCGCCAAAGCCCTGGATGTACCAGGCGAGGGAACAGGATCGTCGGCCGGAGGGTACCCCAATATGTCTCCTCCAGATTCCAGCGATATATGTCGACTGTATTTCTGACGACTTCATCTGGGCCACGCCAGAGAGCGCCTGGAGTTTGTCTGAGACGTCAGTGAAGTGCCTCCCAGAAAAGGTCGTCACGATATCATGCCATCCCTCCTTTTGAAGGAATTCAGCGTCAACCGGGATCACCCGCCCTGAACCAGACCCATCAAGCTTATTTGGTTGACGGCACAAAAAAGCACTGTCAGATGCGCACCTCCACTGTATGTCGTCCTTCGTGAACTTGATGTACCTTGCAGACAGTACTTCTTGTTGCAAAGTCCAACCCCTCTTGTCAATGGGATCGCGACGGTAGGCGGTAGGGCTATGAAAACCGGATGTACGACCGATCTGAGCCAAAAGCTCGACAGGAGGATGGAGAGGACTGTCAACAAGAAAGGCATTGAGGTTTTGCCTTAAAAGTCTACTATGACAAGAGGTCGAAGCCGCGGCAATTATTGTGACGGTAGACATGCTGTAGACTGTCGCCATCTTCTTAGCTTCGTCGGCCCAATCGAGTGCATCCCCCTGAATGATGCAGAGCGCGTCAATCCAGATGTGATCCAGGCCGAGGTATTCGCAAATCTTGATGGCTTCTCTCAAGGTCCGAGGGAGTCCAGATACCCGAACACCAGATCGAAGCCCACTCATGGTAGATGGTGTTAAAATCAGTGGAGGGTTGCGTTCCAACTCATTCTTGGTGCCCCAGCAATAGCTCAATGCTGCAAACCGCCTTGTCCTGGCGCTGTCGTAGTTTACCAGGAAAACCTTGTTGCTAACGATCTCAAGTATTCGCCGTGGCCAATCGGGGACAAAGTCGGGGTTTTGTTTGCACTTGGTATGTTCAGGGCTGGTCAAGCACTTTTCCAGCTGTTGGCGAATGAACAATATCGCCTCCGGAGCGAGCTGCCCGTCGATGTTTGATTTGATATCGAACAACTCGCCGGGTTTGCGCGGTATGTGCGGAGCCTCTGAGGTAGGTATCTTTGGGACAAAATCTAGAAGCGTCAGGACAGGATCAGCAGCCCCAAGGGAAAATGTCAAGGCCTTGTTCATTAAATACCTTTTCTGATAGATGGAAACATGTATGGCTCTGGGTGCGTCTCTCCATGCTTTCGCACCGAAAAGAGCTGCGAGCAACGAACCTCGCCCGAGTGCTGTGTGTTGCCGAGCAGAGCTGGGTTGCACCTCATCCCCAAGAGACTGGAACCTTTTCTTCCGGGCAGAAAGCGGACCGACAGCTTCACCTTTCATCTCTCGATTCACATGGTGATGTCCAGCGTAGTGACAACCGCCGCACTCATTTTTGCCATTCCAGGGCACAGATCCTCCCCTCAGCCTGTAAAGGCAGTGTCAGCGAGTGGACTTGCAACATATCCGCAGGATAATAATACCAACACTGCCTAGCGATCCTCTCTTTCATCGCATCCCACCTCCGCGTTTCCGGCCTTCTCCTCGGGTGCTTGGCCCTCCCGGAGTGGTCGTCTTCAATAACTGTAGCGTCGGCCCGTTGGGTTTCCCTCGGTGTTTCGAATCTTCCGGTGAAGTGTGATGTAAGATGGAGAGATCGAGAACCTGGATCCAATTTTGGCGAAGTTTAAACTCGATTTCTCACGGGACGTGTCCGAGGTAGGTAAGGTTCTCGGGGGCGGTGCAGTGAGACACCGAAAATCTGACGGCGTGCATGGGCGGGGTAGGCTGCCTCTCTCATCCTCGTCCACTCGGATTGCATTCCCAACCCCATCTCTCGGACCTTTCCCGTGATCTGGACTGGTGGTTCCTGGCGCGCCTGGGCAACCCGTCAGCATGACACTCCTGCCACTCCTCTTTCTCCAATCTTTTCAACACCACAGTGTCGCCATTCCGCACCCCCAAATACCCTCACTACAGCAAACTGTTTGACCACGGGGGGCCAAGATGGAAGACCGAATTCAGGTCAGCGTCTTGAATTGTTTGGAATGCTGCATTCTGACATGTTGGCTAGCGAGACGTTCAAATCACCATTCTCAGCGTGACGTCCTACGGCCTCGAGGGGTTATCATTACCTGGTCCACAAAAGCACACTCAAAGTATCTCCACATCAGTACGACCAGCCCTCAGACTTGAACACAAAGCCGGCAATCTCAATGGCACTTGTTGTGGCCCTACATGGAGCGACGCACAATCTCGAGAAATTGGATGAGTGGGCCGGCATTGGGAAACAGTTCGTGAAGATGGAGGTGCTTTTCTGGGACGGGGTACCCCAGGTATACTACCAGGCATCTTCTCGTCGACAATGCACACGGTATCTCCTTCTCAGGGAATCTCGATTTGGCATCGAGAATTCTTCAATCCTGTCGAGGGATTGGGACTCAAGACTCGGAGCGTCAAAGCACAGGGAGGCCGAGAGACAAACCTCTCTCGGGTCTCAAAATGGTAGAAGGGCCAGAAATCCAAGGATCTACTATCCTCATAGCCCCAGACCGGAGAACACGATATGTTGGCGGTCCACACCAGCACGCACAGGACACCCGAACCCATGATCCGGAGAGTCAACTCCCCGGAGACAACTCAAGTCGAAAAGACCATCTTCCCAAGGCACTCAGAATCGCAGCGAACACATTAATGTGCAGTTCAGCACTACTCATCGTCCCATGTCGGAGGATGCGAGACGTGGAGGAAGCCTACCGAATTGCCACATATGTCTCATACTACACATGGTGTGCATCATTCGCGGTGGTATTCTACACCCTCGTACGAAAACAACAGACACCGTTGCAACGAAAACTCTACATCAGCTTCACGACTTTGTTGGCTCTATACATGATTTGGAATACGCTCAAGAACGAGAGCTTGGTCGACGGGCTGGCGGAGTTCGGCCCGGCTATCCTTACAGCAAGCACATACATCGTATCCGTCATGTTCGAGGCGAACATCAACATCTTCAATGTTCTCCTGGAGTAAGGAGATAGCAGGTAGGGGCGCTGTCAAGGAGAGTGAGGAACATACCAAGACATTGAGACGCGTTATACATGAGGGACAGATATTCATCCTGTATGGGACTTCATGTACTGAGATACCTCATTGAGACAACCGGGGCAGTAAAGTCACCGTCCTGATACCAAAACCCAGAAAAATGTCCGTTACGCTGTGCTGTGCTCGTGTCCTACATGCATACAATCATTATCATCGCCTATCATACAACCCAAAACGCCTAATACGCCCTCGGAAAGTCTCTCATCTGATATGTCCTGCTCATATCCTCTCCGGACCCCCTCTCCCGATACTCGACCGCCACCTCGTTAGTCTGTACAATCCTCCCACGCTCCTCAACAATGATGCTTTTGTTACTGCTCCAGTCATCCTGCTTCTCACGACCGACAACGGTGTTGTTCCTCGTCCCGTTCTTGGTGGCATAGGCGCGAGTATCAACACGGTTGGTGGTGTAGTACTTGGTCTTGACCTCTCGCGCAAACACGCGCAGGATGGGAATGCTTGCTGCGATGATGGTCACGCATGACTCTGCGTTGCCCCAGATGAAAAGGACAACGCCGTCGGCTGTAATCCCGTTAGAACAGCCAAAAAGATTGACGATATTTAGGGAGAAAGGCTTACCAGAGTCCGTGGACAACATCTTTGGAATGTGCGTCGTCTTGATGATAGCCGTGATACCAGCACTGTTTCCACGTCAGCCCGACAGTCTAATCACAACAAGGAGGCAAACTCACAAGATACCACAGCTCATAGCAACAGCAACGCCAATCTTCTCCTTGGTCTTCATCTGAAGCCCCCAAATCAGCTTCCACGGAAGCAACGCGAGGGTCAGATCCATAGCCGCCGAGTACGCCGCCGAAAAGATGTTGTAGTTGACGATGACGGTCGGCGGCCAGCACGTCCCGTTCATAAAGGGGCTCCACGACTTTTGCACCGGCATGCACTGGATCCAAACGAACAGCGCGCTCAGTCCCATGGCCACATTGGTCGTGATAATGATGAACCAAACGAACCCTCGCGTCCATCCCTCTGTCAGCCGCAGGAGCGTAAACGCGAAACTCGTCTTGCTCCACGTCGCGGCCGTAAGCGACAGCGTGCCGGCGATGTTGATGGTCAAAACAGTCTTCTCAATCGTCTGGATGTTGAACGGGATGTCCCACACATGTTTCCCGAATCCCAGCGTCGTCGCGTACGTCAACAAGCCCGACTCGGTCGTGATGCAGAGCCAGGCGCCGATGAGCACGTAGTCGTCCCACCAGAGTCCGCGATGTCGAAAGACTT